AGATAAAAGTGTTTTATTTCGAAAAGTATTGCTTCTACTCGCTTTTAAATCGTAGAGTTTGTTAATCAAAAATTTGTAAGCTTTACAAAATCTATACTTATAAAGGAGAACGTCTGTCTGTCTGTCAGTGTGTTTGTTTGTTCACGTTATTGATTTCTGATCAATTATGATAAATGTTTTGGCACATTTAATAGACTAAAATTGAATATAGGTGAAATATTGGATAGAACACGAGCTTTTACTATCATTTGATTAGAAAGACGGAAATCATTAAAAATTGCGTGTCATTGTTGCTGATATAATCAGAGAGAATTAGCTTATTTTTCTATCGAAATGTTTCATGCGGGTTCCATGTTGCATTAGACTGGAAAATGTATGACTTTCATGACGTGATGGCCACGCATGCGCAGTTTTGCCGAACGGCCTGCAACGCCTCTCTATCACGTGACTTACTAGAGAAAAGGAGGGACTGTTAATAGCGAAGTAGTGAAAGTTCTATTGAAAATTCTATTTTGGTGTTAATTGTTTGTTCTTGTTTTGTTTGTGTGTTAATATAGTCTTTGTGCTGTAAATGTTTGGATTAGGCAATGCCCGCATTTAGTTTACGTTCTACGTTACGGAAATATATATCCAGAACCTACACGCCCAAGAAGAAAGGATATGACAATGACTATGAAAATGACTTTTTGGTATCATTATTGCAGAAGGATTACAGCAGTATCGTTCTCTCTGTAGTTAGATGCATTGGTCTGAAACTAATTTAACTGGCGTCGGGTACTTTCGCTAGCTACGAATATACTTCAATAAGTACTTGTATAATGTGTTTTTACTTGAGATTACGTGTAAATATCTTTTTGTTCTCAGCAGTTTTTCATCATTTCATAATACATATTTGCTTATATGCTTTTCTTATTCAAAAAAGATGAAAGGAAGATGTTCATCGTAACTGTAAAACTGTCTTTACAGTGTTTAGCGTAGAACAAACAACGCTACCTTTTCTTTTTCCTTTTTTACAACTCTGAAAAATGACTACAATAGTCTTTAAATAAAACTCATCAGTCATTTGAATGTTAAAAATGCCAGAATTATGTTTTAAATAAGAACATAAGGTATCACAAAGAATATGTAAAATAGATTGCATTCGGTTATTAAAAATATCCGTCAAAAAAATAATGGGGCGAGGAATGAGCAGATTGTCATGGAATGCATTTGCTGAAGTCGAGCATTGAGGTGGGACAGAGATAATTTGAAAGGACACCTGGTATTCGCCAATGGCAAGCAGGTACCGTCACCCACCACTACTTATCTTTAGTTACCGCTCTGGAATTGCGTGAGACAGCATATGGGTTGTTATCAGGATTTGAAACATTATATTCTAGGATATCCCTTTTACCTCTTAAATACATACTTCCGACTGCTTAATGTCACATCCCGAGGAATCTTCCTTACATTCCAATGAAAGTATGCGAAGGTGTTGTGATGACCTAAAACCTACTTATTTTTCACAGATAGTCTCAAGTCCGCCTTCTTTAGTTACTATGGAAGAATAAGAAATGTTGAGAATATTTATACAACTTATGTTTTTAATTTGAATTTCAATTTATTTAATAATTTGAAAATATATCTGAAACTGAGCAAGGGACTTAAAATGAATTATTAATACAAAATATTATAAGAGAAAAACATTGCTTTAAAATGTTAAAAAAATTTCGATCATTTTTAATCATTCAATAGCCCAAAACTGAGTGCTTCAATATATTCATAATTAAATTATTCTACAAAATCAGTTCTGATGTTAATTAATTTGTATTCAAAATTGAATAGTAAAATTAAGGAATTTAATAACCTTTAAGTGGTGGACCAGATGTGCGGAAATTTTGAAATTTTGAACTTGAGTCGGTTACGTTGATTGAAACATTTTTGATGGCTACAATATCATTGAACAACTGAATTCGTCTTGCTATTTGCTGTAATTGATCTGAAGATTTTCTAATCATTTTTTTATAGAAGACATATAGCTTTCAAATTTAAATGCATTGTAATTTAGCGACCCAAACATTTTTACATCTCCGCAAATATGCAGTAGACTGTGAGAAATATACTGTTTTCCATAATAAAGCCCAAAATTTAATACGAAGAGATTAAATAGATAAAATATAGTATTCATGAATTGCCATCTGATTTTGTATTTCGTATAAGAGTCTAATCGAAATATGAAGTAGTAAAAAAGGACCAAAAGGCTCTTTGTTTAAAATTTCTTTTAAAACAACTGAGCCAGTGTACAGTAAAAATTGAATGTATTCTGTAGGTTTCCAATGTTTCAATTATTTTAGGGTCTTCGGTTTTCTAGCAAATTCAATTGGTGCATAAGGCTTTAAAGTGGTCACATTTTTTAAAAAAATTAATTCAACATTTTTTATGTGGTAATCATGCTTGTAAGCTGCCTCCGCCTATCCAAATAGTAATTTTTCGTACTACTCTTAAGCACGCAAGGCGAATAAAGTCAAATGGAATAGTATTTCTTAGTCCTATATTCGGAAAATTCCTTAGAATGGGATAATTGTGTCATCAGTCAGTTCTTCTTGAGACATAAAAAAATCGGTATTTTGACGTAGTTTACCAACGGATCCTGGAAGACATATCCTTTGCTAACTACTTGCCAACAAAATTGCACTTCAAACAACTTGAATATCCAGTATGACCTTTAGTACATAAAATATATGATTTTGTTAGCCCGTCACATACATTATATTTAACAGAAAATTTTATTTTATTTTCATTTCCGAAGTTAATGCCTTCATCAGATAATTTCACAGTATCGTCCTAAATTCTTTTAAAAGTTCATTAGCTTTTGATCTTGAACTACCATAATATGCACTCACGGTAAATACGTTTCTAGTTGAAATAATATTTACCAAAATCGGACAGAGTGAATTATTATTTAATTTGAATATGGGTCATCAATATTTATTGCTATTTCTGAGCATTTTTTAATTTGATTTTCTAAACCAACGCATACATAATTTCCATAATTTTATAAGGGAATTCCTAAGAATGACCACGAGTGTACGCGCATCACTTGGTAAATTGTTAAAGCAATTATGATTCTCCAGAATTTTTAGTTATGCACTCAAAGCATTCTGCTTGATTTGGAATTTTAAGCTCCATTCCATTGATTGCAGAAAAGAGTTCTCACAAGTACTGTGATTTGAAACATCTTTCATTTCGCTTTTCTGTTCGAATGAAAGAGATTCAGTGCCTGTCTTACCAACTTCAAATCAAGCGTTATAGGTCGAAATGCAAGGTATACGAGTTTCATGTTCCAAATCACAATTTGAACAGGAACTTAAAGGATATTTGCTAGTGCGAAAATTCGGCATAAGATTTTTTACATAATTAAATGCTACTTCATCTTCTGATGCTCCGATAATATACGTTGATGTATTCTCCTATAATATATCCTATATTCTCGTATACTTTTAGATCTATGAGATAATTTTTTTCTAGTTCTGATTAATTTTGTAGCATAAAGGAAAAATTTTGAAACTTAAATTTCGCACTCTTTCAATGAAAACTCTTTATCTGTTCTCTAACGCTTGTTTCTGAAGTCAGCTCCTAACTAGAACAGAATTTTGAACGACGGCAGTTAAAATTTAAGCTTCAGCACAAGAGCTCAGTTCTAAAATTCACAAAATAAATAAGTTTACTTTTCCACTTTGTGCGGGTCTTCATAGATATCACTATTACGGAGCAATTAACAGCGTTGTGGGCATTCTTCGTCCAAGTAACTTCAGATTTCAGATGAGCTTTCCGTTTTTGCGCTCTTTGTCGTAAAGGGATATTTCCCTTTTAGGGGAAACAAAGAAGGGAAGTCTGCCATATAAATCAAAGACGTTAACAAAAGAGAAATCTTCTTGGGGCATCGGCTACAGAAAAAGTTCTTAGAGGTCAACAGAGCTGAGTTTCTCCTGCTGCTCCTCCTCTTGCTGCTCTTTCTCATCTTGATCATCTTCCTCCTGCTCCTTCTGCTCCTCAGCAGGAGGAGGAGCACAAAGAGGAGCAGCAGGAAGAGGAGCAGCATGAAGAGGAGCAGGAGAAGGGGAAGCAAGGGGAGGAGCAGCATGAAGAAGAGGAGCAGCAACAGGAGGAGCAGCATGAAGAGGAGGAACGGCAAGAAGAGGAGCAGCATGAAGAGGAGTAGGAGGAGGAGCAGCAGCAGCAAAGAGGAGGAGCAGAAGGAGGAGTAGCAGGAAGAGGAGCAGCATGAGGAGGAGCAGCAGGGCGAGCAGCAGGACGAGCAGGAGTAGGAGTAGCTGGAAGAGGAGCAGCAAGAAGATGAGCAGCAAGAAGAGGAGCAGGAGGAGCAGAAAGAGGTCCTCCACGAAGGCCTCTGTCACCTTATGTAGATAGCGCTCGAGGCTTTGCCGTTAATCGCATTACCAAACTCCTAGAAAGTCCTCCAAGAAGGCATCTTAGACAGATCGCCCTCGTGTGCATTGCCATAATTAAATAAGTCACGATCACGATTCGCAGTGAAAGCCATCATTCAAATAGGAAGAATTTTTAAAGCTTAAACAAAATTTGTAACATATTACTTCATAATTTTATTAATAATTCAATAACCATACTTCCAATTTTATTTCACTTGACTGTAATAAAATATTTCCGACAGTCCGATTCTCTAAGACGACCATCTCCACGGATGACTTTTCTTACCTCCATGTTGTTGGAACCCGGGGGAGGTACCTCTCTCGAAACTAAACTGACCGCCACCATTAGGCAGAGAGCAATTTGTAATTTGGTAAAAAGTTCTTAGACGTGAAAATGTGGAAAGCCATTTGTGTTAAGGCTGTTTTGTCAGATACTTCGTACACATGTAACAATGCATTCGAAAAGCAAATTTCAATATTTACTCTATAGAGACATTAGGTATTTTTTTGGAAACAGGAAAGATGAAAAATTAGCAATGCCGTCGCCGGGAATCGAACCACGGACCTCTGAAATACCGGCTCATTGAGCTGACCACTACACCACGAAGGCACGCTAGGAAAGCAGGAGAAATACCTTATATACTCCCCCATTTAAAGGGCGACTGGGGTTTTTAGGGGTCCCAATCGCCAAATCCAATCATTTTTCTGAAAGGCCATTGAGGTGGTATAACTGACAATCGAGAGCAGGATCCGGATACGTGGGCAGCTTACACACACTATTCGGGTGTTGTCCGAATCCGGTAACTGTCCAGAACAACGCCCTAAAAGAGAAAAGTTGAATATTGCTATACTAGGGCTGGTTGCATCGTACATAAAAGCTTTTGTTGATACTTGCTTTATACATGAGACGAAGTATAATTGATACACATATTAGACAAACGTACTAATTCATAAGAGATAAACATGCATGAACATAATCATAGAACTGAATTGCTCCGTGCCATACATATCATTGCTGATACTGATTCATAATACAAAAGCATACATGACACATAATCATACTGCTCAATTGTTCCATACCATATACACAGTTACTGTTCTACGCAGTTTCTGAATTACATACAAATACTGAATTAGGAAAGTCAAGCTTATTGTGATGTGTGTGTGATCTGCCCACTTTGTGTGTAATTTGGACGTGGCGTTTGTTAGTTCACACTGAACAGGTCATACTTTACTTATATACATGATACATATGATAATTCATAAACATAATAAATAAATATGCTCATTTATAACAGATAAACATAATACATAATCGTACAACTAAATTGTACCATGTACATACAGTTGGATGATACTGAGCTATAAATGAAGGCGTTCGACTGGCATAAATCCTCATTTGCCGTGCATATTTTGAGCGATATACATCCGTACGCGTACGGCAAGCTCCCAGGTATCTGTGGAGCTACGGGCAGAAATGGTTCAGCTCCTCAAAGGAGATGCTAAGAGTTGTTCTCGGTTTCTCCTTAGAGTGCCTGTTCCTTTAAAGCCCTAAGAAAATAATTCTTAACGTTTTGTAACGATGTATACCATTAGAAATTTAGACTCTTCTTTTATATACGCGCTAAGATCACAGAATGTGGCGATATATGTTCTGCGCTGGTTTTTGGCGCGATTGCCTGTTTTTGTATGGCAACCTTTTTGACGTTGGAAACTCTTTTACTGGAGTGGTTTAATTGCTCGTTGGTTCGTGTCGTGCGTGTTTTGAAATGGCTATGTTGCAATGAGAGACGTGGTTGCAAGAGGGTCTGGAAGATTATTTTTAGTGGCTGTGCATGATAGATGTAAGGAAACGCTGAAGTGTGTTAAAGAGTGGATTGTCCCTTGTACAAGTATTTTTTCGGATGGCTGGAAATCTTACAAGGATTTAGGAAAAGAAGTTTTTAAACATTTATTTGTGAACCAAAGTATGAATTTTTCTGAATAGCGAGTCCCGCTGTCATATAAATATCATAGACAGTACGTGGCGGCATGTTAAACCTACGTTCTGCTGTCCGAAGAAGCATCGATTATGTTAAGTGCATTTTATTGTATAGTTTTTATTTTGTAGAATGTTTTGTTCATTGTTTTTTTACTATGAATTTCTGTTGTTATTGTTGTTTTTTTGAATTGTTTGAATTTTATTTTAGTTATTTTGTTGATTAGTGCGTACCGTCTAAATTGTGCAATTCGTAGATGTTTTTTTAAGTTGAAACCAGAACGCTGTATACATGGTATTCTTTGAAATTTATTGTTATGTTAATTTATTAAAACGAGGTGTGCGTAGTTCGTAGACTCTTTCCTGGCTAGATTGTGCAACTCGTAGATTTTTTTTATTATTTTCGCATCGAGAGAGGGCAAAAATCTCTATTCCCCAAACATCGAAAACGCCCGTATCTAAGAATTTCTCCTGGAATGCTTTTCCTTCCCCCATGACAAGTTGAATACTACAGCGCTAACAACAGCCTTACTTAAGTAAAGCGAGAACTTCTTTCTTGGACGCTTTGACACTGTGTGAAGTTCTCCCTTGGGACGGGATTGCAACTTCGGGCAACAAAAGCTAAACACTGACAGTAAACAAAGGAAAGAGAAGGTGCATTAAAATAATATAACTACTTTTAGTAGCTTCAAAAGAATGATTGACATGTGATTTAACAACACCTGAAAGCAATCAGTAATGCAGTAACGTGATGGGGGGAAAGCATTGGGTAGGAAATTATTCACGCGTTTCGGGCGTCCAGCCGATGTCTGAATGCTCGGGCGTTTGGGGCGACTTCGATGCGAAAGAGTTAAAGTTTAAACATATCGCTGTGCACATGGATTCTTGTCACATATTTTTGGTTAGAAACTTTACGATCTTGCTATCTGAATTTTTTGTTTTTGTTTTTGTTTCGGATTTTTAGCTTAAATTGCGTTTTCAAAACGGACCGCTTTTTTGGAGACATTTTAGGCTTAAAGTTCGAAATGTAGATAAAATATTTAGATTGTAATATGACACCGTGAAGTTTTTCGCCAAAAATATTTGGCGAGAAATTTGTCGCCGCATTTGGCGACCTGGGGGCGCCTATAAGAGTAGTTCTGAAATTTAGAATGGAGAACAGCGATTGATTTGCGCTAGCAAAACCTTTTCGCCTACCTACCAACAGTGTCGTTTGCGACCTCAAGGTGTTATTTCCTATACATCACGAAAATCTGCTTATTTCCGACCCTTTTTGCACATATTTTCCGATCACCCTATAAATAGTAATATGAGCCCAATAAGCAAATGGTGATAAATAAATTATAAACGGTCAAAGGGTTATTTCCTGTAGTTGCGAACATGTACCTTTTTCTGTGTTTACAGGAAACAAACGTAACTATTTAAAGACATCAGTGTTTATAAAATTTTAAACCGTGACTGTATGTGTGTCCCCATAAGTCCAGTTGTTCGCAGGCGGAAAATGGTTTTTCTTTTATACGTGTTTTTATTCTTTTCTTCATCATTTCATTCCAATATTTCCGTCAACTTTCTCCAAGCTCTAACTTATACGTATTTGAGCGTTGAATAGTCCATAAGCTGAGTGAAACAAACGGACCGTTCATATCCCTCCTCCCTCAACACAAGGTCGCACTCCATTTTTATAAAGAGAAAGAAGGAGGACATCCACTTGAAAGAAATGATGTATTTGTTTCACGCCTTTGACTACGGCGTTCAGGTCCAATAGCACAATGAACAACTGTTTCTGAGTTAGAAGACAAAATGAAAGAGAAATCCAACCAACAGAAAAAAAGGGGAACAGATCTTTGAATAATTTATCGCAAAAAATGCCATATATCTTCCCGGACATAAGCGAAAAGAAAATAAAATCAGAAGAAATTCACGCTGAGATTGATTTTTACGTCTGTCTGTCTCTACCCTCGATCCCACACCAGGGTAACTTTCTTTTTTCAGAAAGTTTTTTTTTAGTAGCACGCGGAGAAGAGGATCTTCGGATGCACTTAAAGAAGGGGATGTGCATAAAATGTATTTGAAAGATATGTCAGATAATGTCATCAGCATTTAACGGACATGGCTTAAAAGCTCGTACTAAGTGCCTATTAATTCCTTTCAAGCATAAATAAAACTGTAAATAATGTATTTCCATTTTAGTTTGGGCCCACTAGCGGCCGAGCGGTAACGTCGCTGAACACTGGTAGTTCGGTCCGAGGTTCGAATCCCGCGAACGGGCTGGCTGCATGGGCGTTTTCGTGGTTTTCCCCATGTGTAACGTGTATACGAGCCAGTTTCCCTTAAAACGTCCTCCACGAAGGCATCCCTCCCTTAAGGCAGATAGCCCTCGAGTGCTTTGCCGTAATCTAATAAACCAAAAAACCAACCAACCATTTTATTTTGAATGTACCATTTTAAGGTGTAAGGTACTTTCTTATTCACATACTTGAACGCTTTCCTGCTGTGTGTAATAATCCCAAAACGCCTGCCTAATTGATAACTATTTCATCGAATCTTGCCGTGCATTTGTACACAGATGATTCTGAATCCATCTCTTGGAAATTACGCCTCTGTACACAAGGAAAAGCAAATTCTGATAATATAATTACATCTGAGCTGCTAATTTAAGTACATTATTATTCTCCTACGTAGGTTTGCTGTACTAAATAACATAGAAGCCAGACATTCGAGAGTTTTTCATGGAAGTGAGAGTATAGTATACTTAAATGAATAATGTTTACGAGGTTTGCACTTTCAGTGAAACAGCCTCTTGTATGTTCTTGATTTGTTTTCTTGAGTACAAAACCTTTTTGAAATACAGTAGGTAGGTGGCTATCGCGGTCTTTGTCATATTAGAATAAGTTAACCTGACCTTTTACGTAGACAACGCAAGGAGTGGCCAGCTTATCTTATCTAGGAGTTCTAAGCACTATGAGGAAGGGCATATTTATTTATTATTGTCCGGCTTGCTTCATTTCTCAATGAGCACTAAAGGTCACTCATGTTATCCTGATCGTTGCAGCGGCAACCTTTGTTTGCTTGTTTATCTTTTCAACCTTGTATTAATAAACGGATTTAACATTAGTGTATTACTTTTGTTGGGTGCTCCAACTTACAATGTTTTGTGTATGTTAGCATAAAATTAGCAAAACGTGTTATTCAGATTAGAGATATTTACATATATACATGACTGGAGGCTTGTTGCTCTTACATTTCGTCTTGTGCTTTAACCTGGTTATGTATGATTATGTTTCTCTTAGAATAGACAAACTCTACGATAATTCTGACGCCCCGCTGTTCGTAGTAATCCTGAAGAAGGTCTTTGAGGCTATGCGATCCCTGGAACTGAGCAAGGGAAGCTATGATGGAAGAAGTGAGTGGACAGTCGTGGATGTAATGTGAAACGTCTGCTGATGAAGCTGAGGGACGGCAGGCGAATTTGACGTTTTGATGGTAGAACCTGATAAGTGAGTGAGGAAGGGGCACTCAGACCTGGCTTTGTTGGAGGAAGATTTACGCGGTTAATATCCCGAACCCTAGAGGCGATCCAAGGACAACCTTTGATATCACACCATGTAACATCTCCTCAACCAAGGGGCAGACAAAGCAGTATAAGCACGGTAGCTAATGAATGATGGCTCTGGTCCTGTGAAGAGATATCGTATATTCCGGTGTATAACACGGACCTATAATTTCAAGCTATAATTTTTAGCTTTCAGGTATATTTGCCGTATAGCGCACATTCTTTTCTTTCGAGAGTGAGACTTATCTTTTGAAAGCATTCATTCGAAGATTTTTCCAAGCTTTCAGATA